GATGACAATTTAGAAACATAACAGACTCTGTAGGAAGTAGGCTCGAGATTACGTATTGCTCAGTGGTGAGGCTCCCACTAAGGAACGGGCGTAGCCGGTGTCAGAGACCTCAGTCAAGTCTACTCGCAGGAGCTCATGGTCAGCCTCTGAACATGACCTCTGATCGGGTAACAGAAGGAGGCTGGTGGCACTCGGCAAGCTTCCGGTATACAGCATTGCCTTGGGCAGAAGCAACTTGCATGGCGATTCGTTGTCGACAGAACACACGTAAGACTCGAACACATGCAGCATACCAACGTCGACGGCGAAGTCTTCTGACGATCGACAGCTACGAGAGTCTCCTCCATGAACCCCGCCACACCAGCAGAGTCGATATGACCCAGCAGAGGCCATAAAACCTGCGCCTGTAGCCCAGGTGAAGCCTTTCCCATTGTCAGTAGCCTTGCCAGTTAACTGCGATGAGACGGTTCGGCTTGTACCGCAAGTCTCACGAGATGGAACAAGCAACATACGATCATAAGGAGTCGATTGAGTGCCTTTGAAGTTAGCGATGCTGCAGGGGGTCTCTCCTCGAGCACATACGAAGATCTGACCCGACTCAGCTCCCACGACTGTTATAGTCCCAGCGAGTGCTCTGAAATCCTGGGGCCTATCTCTATCACAAGAGACTCCCGAGACCGGTCTGCACCAGCAAAGCTGATAATGGCCCGGCTGACTATAGACCCGTCCACTGAAGACAATGGTAACGAAGGCCTCGGTGCTGTCGAGAGTGTCGGAGTTGACGGGCTCGGATAAGCCTCTCCTGCCAATGCCAGTCTCCCATGGAACCCCACTCGATGGTAGGCTGGAACAGGATTCCCCAGATCTCCGCACCGCGAACACATCGCTGATATTGAGGCCTCTCCCCCACACCCTCGAGATGATAGCTTTAGTCCCACGGACCACGGAGAGTCTCCTATTTTGCGATGGATCCGGGCCGACGATCTCGATGGTACCCGCGAGAGCTGTGAAATGCCTTGCTGAGGAGCAATTTCGTAGGCCAGTCGTGTTGGTTCCTCCACACCAACAGACCGAGTATGCACCGGGTGTAGCAGTGACTGGCTCAAGACCCCACGTGTAAGAGGTGCCTCCTCCGTCCGAAGAGATAGAGCTCGCTCCGACAACACTGGAGTTGCTATCGGCTCCTGTTGGTATACCGCCGACAGTCGACTCGACCCCGCATTCAGACATGATAGCAAGGCGATCTTCGTGTGAGAGGCCGACACCAGTAAGTCCACCCAGACTCAGCACCCTACCCCGAATAACCGCACCAAAGTCATGGTCTGGGTAAGGACCGTGGACCCTGAGTTTTCCAGCAAGGGCTCGGAACTGTTGAGGACCCTTCTCCATGCAAGACATACGCGCACTGCACCAACACAGATTGTACACTCCCGGCACGGCAGCCACGACAGAGGAGGAGTCCCAGCAGAAGGCCCTGCCGTCCACAGTAGGCTCGGATACCCCCTGCCATTGGGCCCTCATTGAGCCTATCCCTCTTATCCCCTGGACCATACCGCACGTTGACATAACAGCGAGAAAGTCTCCGTGTTGAAGCCCGTAGCCTTGTACACTCGGAATACACAGAGCTCTACCTATGGCGGCATAGAACTCATGTGTCCGTTGCGGCCCTAGGATTGCGAATCGACCAGCTTCTATACGGAAATCCTTGATGCTGGAGCAATCAGATGCTCTACCATCACACCAGCAGAGCTTATACACCCCAGGGCTCTGACTCAGGCGCGCTTCTGTTGCGCGATCGCTCGCCACATCACCGAAAGCGAACATGCCATTGAGAGCCCCTCGACTGATGCCTCCACCGGGAACACCCCATAAGCCACCTCCGTAAAGTGTCTCGCATACTTCTGTCGTCTCCACAGCTATAAGGTTATCACCATCGTGTAACATCGTCGGACTCGATTCAGACATGTCGAGCGTGCACGGCCATCCAGTCCAGCACTCTACTGTAACAGTGCTGTTGAAGTAGGGTAACCCGAGTGGTGCAGTCCACGGGGGTATTGGACTTTGGAGGACTCCGTTACGGAAGATACTATGTGAACGAACACCACGAAAGAGATACGCGACCACCCAGGCTCCGGGTTGGTCGGAATGCTCCGCACTAGGGTCCCAGTATTCGAGAGAAGCATCCACATCACTTGCTTTGTCATATCGGGTGTCTGCCTCTGTCCAAGCACGCAGAGCGATCCTGATGCATTGGACCTCTGCGTAGAGCTGCCCAAAAGAGTACTCCACAAGGTCCGCTGTATCCGATGGCTCAATCATAGTGGAGCCTACTAGATGCTGACAGTAGTAATCGCTATAAAGCTCAACAGCAGACAGCTCATTGGATATTGGGGTAAGCTGGACGCCTTGCTTATAAAGAGCCAGCCTCCACTTGGTTTTAAAGCTGGCGAGTGTGCGGATCCAGTCGGAAGGTGCCGACCAGGGTGAGGACTCCAATGCATTTTGGCAGATTTCTCTGACACG